CTTGAAAGGGGGGCTTAAACCTGGCTGCCAGTTTTTGACATGAGAGTTCCTCTTGAGGCCGTACTATTTCTTCATATGGTGACTGAACTGGCAAATATCTTCCTGCACATCAATATGTATTGGGGTTTGTGCTGGGCTGGGTTTTTTCTTTCCTTTTTTTTTTTTTTCTTTTCTTTTTTTTTTTTCCTTTTTGTTAGGTCTTACAAGACAGTACCTGGAGCCACGACGTTCAGCCCTGCCAATTTTGAGTGCAGGGCCACTTGTTAGTTCCTTATTACGTGTGGGCTAACAAGGAAGGAAATGCGAAAGGGTAAGATGGCAGGAAAGCCGTAGCATCTCGCCGGTGATAAGGCAGCTCAAAAATAGGTTGTGACAGCTGAACTAATGATGTCACCGATGCTGATACAAGTGGGCTGCTTCTCATTATGATTTCTCTGCCAGACATAGTGACATTCACCAGCCAATGCGTGTCTTGCGTAGACGATATATAGAACAAATCATAGGAAATGCAGTGCAGGAGGCATGCGATAGAACATTTGCCCAGTTTTTTTGTTTTGTTTTATTTTTCAGGAGCACAATACTTCTGTAGATGATAAAGGTGTATAGGTCGAGCTTAGCCATGCTGGACCACTTTATCAAACCAGGGTCATAGAGCTCTTGTTGTGACATTTAGTGATAAGCATTTTGGAGGTAAATGAGATGGAGCAGTCTGCGAGGAGATCAGAAGGTGCTGTGTAGCTTCAGATCTCAAGTAAATTACAAACAGAGTGTTGGTAGCCTGACCACTGATATGTCCTTTGTACTGTACACAGTGTATTAAGATAGTGACAGATAAATAATGTAGTTTAGTTGTCAGAAAGATGCATTTGTTGCCCAGGTTTCTACTATAGATTTATTCTCGGTTTATTTTCCATAGAGTTATTTTTAATGAGAATGGAAAGGGGGTTAAAATTATTTGGATTCCGATTTCATTGTGTAGCTACTTGATCAAAAAATAAACTTGTTGTTTATACTCTTGTAAAGGGAAAATGCTATATTAGCTTTCAGCTATCAGATTTGATTCAGATAATGATACGGCATCCTAATTCATAGGCTCTGCTTCAGATATTGAGTTTGTCTGTGATAGAGCCTTTTTCAGAAAACTGCTCTACCCTGATAAATCATCCAGAGAGAGAGAGGGAGAGAACACGCGCATTTAGATGGCATGGAAAAATAGGCTAATAATGTGATGGTATAGGAGTAGTCGAATATTTCAATGCATTTGTGTTGATAAATTATCATTTGTTTTAATGTTCAATTGCATGTACCCTTTTTAGCTGTTCCGCTTGATCGCAATGATTTGCTAGCTGTATGCAAGTGCTGGAGTTGGTTGCTTTTCCTGTTTTGATCACAGCCCAGGCAGTAAAGGCCACTACACTTTAAACAGATAATAAATCATACCGTGTCCTTGCTAACCAACGTTACAGATTCCCCCGGGTCTGAACTGAACGTCCTTCTTTCTGTTCAGTTCAGTGCAAAGAAGGTAAAACTCTATTTGATGTTTGTGTAATATTTTGAGACAAAGTCTGATGAGTTTTTCCAAATTGCCAAAAATAAATCTCACCAGCAGACTTTTAGCTGGTGACTTGAGGCATATGTATTCCTGACTGCTGTCTGTTTATTTTTACTCCCCTTTTGTTGTGAGCTGTCTAAAGTTTTGATGTTGTTTAGCCAAGGAAAGAATTATAAAAGTAGCCTATAAACTCTCACCAAGGGGGGCAGAAAGAGAGGGGAGAAAACAAAAAATGGTGCAAAGGCATTTATGCCTTTTGTTATGGTGTGTGCCACTTATCCACTGACCTGCATGGCATATTTAGCTGCATTTAAATACTGGAGCAAATTCCTTGCAGTTACTTTTCTTGGCCTGTTTGCTCTGTGAAGATAATGGAAGTGGGATGCTCTGTCTCTATTGTTCGGCTGCAACAGAGTTCAAGTTGTTGCTAAGATTTCAAGTTGTCAAAGCATTTTATCCTGTTAAACGGTGTGCTCTAATGATCAGCGTGTCCCAGGATTGCCCCAGATTGATTACTGCGCTATAACCGATTGCTTGCCAGTGGGACTGAATCACTTTGAGCTGCATTCTCCTCTGTCGTGAAATGTTTTAAAAACGTTTTACCAACAACAAAAGCTGCTGTCTAAATCAAGCACAACACGTTTTCCCATTATGGCACGAATTGTGCTTGGTAACGTTTTGATTGCTGGGGTGAGTGTTTAGCATCCTGAATTTGCTAAATGAAGGATGTGTGGCAATCAGATTTTGTACTTTAAAGCTTTTCTCCCTTTTTGACAGCTTGACCAACTGTTCCCTTCTATTCCTTTTTTCCCCCCTGCTTCTCCCCTCTTCTATCAGCTATAAACCACCACCACCACCACCTCTCATTATTAAAGATTAATATGAAGGCAAAGTCCTGACATAGTTTATATCACAAAATAAAAAGTGCTGCAAATGCTGTATTTGAAAAGTTAGGACGTGTCAGGCAATGCAGTTCAATATCAGGCTCTGGGCTAGGGCTCAACGCACACGTGGAGAGGAGCAGGGCGCACGTCCTCCTGCCTCCAGACCTGACTGTGCTTTGTTTCACCAAATGCCATCGCGGTGCTTTGTCCAATCTGCCGATGTACCAAGGGTGATTCCTGATGCTTGCGCCGTGTGTTTGGGCACTGGGAATAATGCCCTGCTCTTGAGAGCCAGGCAAGCAAGAGACTTGGGGCCAGTCTGGAATTAGATCTCCTCCTGTGTTTCTGCTTTCAGTTTTGACATCAGTTTGCTGCTGGTGCCAAACTAGTCAGTAAATTTGGAGGCAATATGAGGGACAGGAGCCCTAAACCCAATGATTTCCTACCAGCTGAGATTTTTATTTCAAGAAACATTGCTTTGCTTGGATGGTATATTTTTTCCTGATTTTATAAAGTTTAAAAGGGTGTCAGTATCCTGACTGTAAATCTAATGTCTCTGTAATTTCACTGTGCACTAAAACCTGCCATGCCAGATTTTGGCCCTGAATGTGGGCATTTATTTTGCCATCTATGGTTATTGTTACTTTCTTCAATGTCACCATCATCAGGTTACAAAGAAAACACGTTATAAAACGTGCATAGCCCTCTGGTCTCCCAGAGCAGTCAGGAGGTGGGGAAAAGCTGCTCAACCTGCCAGTTTGCTTTGGTATAGGTATAATTTGTAGATGTCTGGGATATACAAGGACAGTATCTTAACATTTTTCAGTCCTAAAACAGACAGCAGAAAATACCAGGAAACATTTAGGTGACTTGACTAGGTCTAAGCACAGAAGCGTTTGGTGCCGAAGAGGGAGCTTATAAAGCTGCAACATTATCCTTAACTTGATAGGGATTAGCTGCGTGTTAGTGCAATCACCATGTAAGGAGTGAAATTTGGCTGATCGTTTGGCTTTGATAGCTTCATTTGCCTTTGGCCCCCTAAGCCATTTCTCAGGAAGTGGGAGAACTGATACTACACTCTCTGCATGACTTGTCATTTAAATGACAAAAATCACTTCCCTCAGAAGCTTACTTTTCCTTCAGGAAAATCAGATTAAAACCAGGGCTGAGGGTGTTTTGGCGAGTGGTTTAATGTCCAATATGTTGCATGACTCTAGATGTAAAAGTAAATGCATTGGAAAAAAGAATTTCCCAACTTTTTAAGGTCACCTTCTTTTCTGAAAGGCCCAAGGCTTTAACAGACCCTTTTTATGCAGATAAATACCTCAAAGACCTCTTTATGACCTCTTGCATGAGGGTAGCTAAGGGGCTGTGCCCTGCTGAAGCCAGGAAGATTTCATGGTTACTTAAGCAGCTCATGACTGTTGCAGTTGTGAGCAGTATTCTCCGAGCATCATAGGACTCCTGATTGGAGGGGGTATCCAGAGGCTGACTAGATCCTACCTGGCCCTAAAAATGGGTCTTTAGCACCCACACTAGGTCCAATCACTTGAAAACTCCAAGGAATTGGAAACCACCTTCTTCCTGGGTAACCAGAATCAGTGCTGCCCTCCTAAATGATGCAGCATCGTGTTACCGTTTTATACCTCTTACAGATTTATTTCTAGCTGTAAGTATACTATGAAGTAGCTGCTTGTGCCTCATCAATGAAATGCCACAGAAAAAACAGGAGTCCAGCTTCTTGGCTGTGCATGAATAATACTGTATTCTCTGCAAAGTTACAGGATTTTATTCTTCAGGCATGCATGTAATGAGAATTCTGAGAATTTGTCAGTGAATTAGACCCAAACCAGCTCAAAAGTGGACCCACTGAGAATTTAATGCAAGATAGAGGTACCTTTGTTGTGCTAAATTATCTTGGTTGCTAAGTAAAAATATGCTATATACTTTTTGAGTGATTCTGTGGGCAGTATTTTAATGAATTTTGTAGCACTGAGTGTGTGTAATTCAGAAGAAGAAATTCTGAGTTACACAGAAACCAGCAAATAATATTGTTGTCTTCAGTGTGGCGATCTCCAGTTCTCTGGTGGCTGAAATCTGAGCACTCTTGAGAAAAGAATAAATAAAATAGACCTTTTACAAAATGGCAATACTCTTAGTTGAAATGATGGTCCAAAGTCGTCTTCCTTTAAGCCTAGCTTCCACTTGTGGAAATTTCTTTGGCGTAAGTTCAGAGGTGTAGCTGCTGTTTAGGTAGATAGAGGCATTTACTTCTAATCGCATTAGTGTTTTAGCTGAATTATGAGATTGAAGGCGTTCAGTGCTTACCCAACTTCACTAGAGTTTTGTTAGTTAATACTGTTTGCAACAGATACAGGTGTATGTCAAACTGGAAATGCAGACTTGTTCAAAATGAATTCTAGGTATACTTTTAATCAAAGCTCCCGTAAAATGCGATCAGAATTTAAGTAGTATTTCAGAACTGAAAATAGCGTTAGGAAAAACTTGACAGTGACTTGTCCTTTCAGATTTTTCTGATGAAATATCTTGCTTCTGTCTTCTAGGACCTGCGCAAACAGGTAGCTCCATTACTGAAGAGTTTCCAGGGAGAGGTAAGAGCTTATGCTTCTCATGGTGCTTTCCATGTTGCTTCACATGAGGCTGGTGTGCTGGCAGTCTTTCAGCGTGGCGGGGTGGGTACAGAGCCCTTGAGCAGGGAGCATTGCAGGGGTTCAGCCCTTCTGCATTTTGCTGTGTGCAGGATATGTGTGTGGTACGCTGGATTTGTGTGCTGGACAAGCTAAACTGGTCAAATGACTTTGCATTCAGCATACCTGAGCGTAAGCTTGCCGTTGCAGTGGCTCAGGTGGCACAGGCTAACTCGCTATGCCTCAGTGGCTTGATGGTTTGAACGCTTCTGAATGCAATGTAATGTTACGTATACAAAAATATGGAGATACTACAAATAGTTTTCACTGTAAACCTTTTCAGCTGTAAAACATTGTATTCTAGAGGGCTTGATGGAAAACCTTAAGTTGGCAGGTGTTTGTTGGAAAACCAACAGAAAGCGTTAACAGCTCTGGTGCTGCCTCTTACTTTGATTTCTCTCTGCTAAGAGACACATGATTAGAGTGATCACAAGTTTAAAAGCCAACTGTTGTTTTGAAGAATTTCTATAACAAAAGGCAGCTGGGCCAATTACAGAATTTTACATCTTAGCTGTGGACAGCACTGAAGCACTCACTTCGTGTGAGTGCTTAGGCCAGATGGGAGCTGTTGTACTGCCTCTACGAAAACGCCGTGTCTGAAGTTTGCAAATTCTATTTCTCCTTACAAAGATCAGTGCCTGCGTGGGGTGGTAGATTTAGGTTTTAGCTAACACTATGTTACAAGTTGTAGAGCTCTGCTTAAAGTTAGCTGTGTTAAAGCAGCAACACTTCTTACTTTCTCAATCTGTAAGTTGTTGGCTGATTTTGTACTGTTGCAGTTCCCATCAGAGCACAAAGAAACGCAGGAACATGTTTTCAGAAGTCTGCATAGGGAATTAGGTGCACAACTCCCATTAACTGTAATGAGGGTTGCATTTCTGATTACTTGTACATCCTGCTAAATATGTATCCCAAATAGGCAATAATTCCTCATGTTAAAAGCAGTATATTTTTTGGTTTACAACTCAATTTCCCAAGTATTGCTAGAAATAAATAAATAAACAGGACAACTTTGTCCTTGATATATCTAATAGTAGTTTGTGAGAACAAAGAATGACTTGTGTGAGTCTGTTTGCCAATGGAAATTTACACTTTAAAATTGCTCCAAGTGGATTGCGGTGCTCTTAAAACCTTTTCACTTTAGTTTCAAGCTTGCAGTGCACTGACTGAAATGTGTATGTGTGCTTTCAGCACCGTTCTTTAATGAAGGAAATGTCTGAGGATCAAGTAAGAATCATAAATCCAGATTTGGCTACAGGGAAGGAAGATTCTCCCATTAGATCTTGCCAGTTGGAGACAGCTCACTGTTACCTTAGTATGGCTCACACACGCTCCTCTTCTGTAGTTTTGCTTCACTAATGTAAGAGTGAAGTTTATGTTGGTATAAATGCAACCTCACAAATGACAAATGTAAAATTTGTTGGTAGAAATCCCCTTTTACGTAAATGGAACACGGATGTGTTACAAGATTGTGCTGCTGAATCTCTTGGCCAGTGATTCCAGTCTCCCTAATCTAGGCAGGGGTTTAGAAAGCTAAAAAAGCCTCAACTAATCATGATTGACGACATAAATGCAGAACATTAAACCATGAGTTGTGGTGTTTGATTATAGATGTAATTACTGTATCTTGTTTTGGAGACAAATCAAAATACCAAGAATATTAGCCTGTTCTGTTGAGTTATATTTTATTGTTCAGTACACAGATTTAGTCTCTGTTTATTGTTAAGGCTGAATTTACAAAAAATCATCAGATAAATGTTCCAGGTAGCTCAAGAACAAACTGTGTTAAGCATAAAGGCTTTTCTGCATTTCATATCCACTGGAGATGCCTTCTCTTACTCTCCCCGCCAATGGCTCAGCAAGCCATAGAACTCAGGGCAGGACACCCGCCCCACGAGCTGCACAGGATTGCTTTGTACTAGCGTGAGTGTTACCTGTTAGGTGGTATCTAATGTCCTGGGGGCTGTGACAGAGGGACCTTTTGGTCACAGAGTACAAGTCCTTTTGGGACGGGAGCAGGAAGGAGGAAGGTGGAATAGGGACTGATCTGCTCATAAGATGCTCCCTGCTTCTACTACAGAGACTTGTTTTCAGCCACAGACTGAGATATTTTTTTAAAACAACAACAGGAGTAAGTAAATGAACCAGAGAAGTGGTGAAAACAGATGTTTTCTAGACTCCTTTCGGCTGGAGAGAGAGCGTCCTCGAGCAGCAGGTAGGGAATGCTGTAGGAGTGCTCTGGTTTGCACCTCTGTAGGCACTGCAGGTGGTATTGCTGAACTTTGGAGCACCACCACCTTCTCACCGGTTTCTCATTTGGAAGCTAGGAAAAAAAGATTCTTACATGATGCAGCTTCGGCGTTTACCATATCCACCACATTTTTGCCTCCGACTTCTATCTCCACCCCTACTGCTATTGTCCCGTCCATTTCTTGATCCTTAATGACAGCACTAAGTAGGTGCTTTTTGCATGTCCAAGTAATATTAAATTATAGTTCTGCTTCAGAAGGGAAGTGGGCTCTTGCAAATCCCATGTGGGATGACTGTGCTTCAGAGGGCTCTGGGCACTAGGGAGGGCCAGAAGATCAGAAGGGACAGACAGCTTCCTAATGAGCAAAGGTATTTAAGTAGCTTTATGTGGATATTGCTGTGTTCCTGCCTACTTCAGAACTGGCTCCCCCCCTCCTGCCTTACCTCAGCACTTTTGCTAGTGTGATCCCACTGAGCACAAAGTTTTCTTTTTTTCCCCTTTTTTGCTGGCTTAGTTTTCTGCCAGGTTGGTTCGCTGAAGCAGCTCACTGCAGGCGCCTGCTGGGCAGGGGAGAGGCCAGGAGAGCAAAGCCAAGAGCAGGAGGGAGTGCAAATGTGCCAGCTTAGGTTGACTTAAACTGTCCTTGAACTGTACCCTCGGTGAGCCTGCCGTGACTTGGAGAGAGGAAGCTCACATATTTAACTATCCTCCCAAGCATGCTTTATGGGACATCTGCTTGTTAACCTGTGGCTAGTTGACTTTTTAAAATAAATCCACAGATCACTTTAGCCAATTTTTCTTTTCCGTTTGAGCATGGATATTGATACTCTCCCCCTGATATTTTCCCTTTGTATAATAAGAATTTATAAATAAACCCCACCAAACCAGAACATTCTGTATTCCGTAGATCTTCATCTCATTCATTCAGATAAAAACTGTTCCAGTTATCAAATACGCAGTTTCCATTAGTAGTTGGAAATAACTTTTTTTTGTATAGGTCTCGGTGCTTTAAGTAACTGGATTTTTTATGAAGACAGTTAAAGTAAAAGCATTATGAAATAGAATTTAGCATCCTACAAATTTTAAAATGCATTCCTAGTTCAGTGAGACACACCATCAATTCATCACTGTAGTATAATTTTATTATAGTACTTTTCCCTTATTTAGGTTTTTAATGGAAATTTGAATGCAGGGGTTGTTTTTTTAAATTAACAGAATGTTGTGTCTGATTCAAAGCTGATGGTATTGTCCTTTTGATTTTTTTGTGGGTAACTTCTAGCTTTCCTGGAAGATGAAAGGTCTGGATGGTGGAAATAGGCTATTGTGAGCAAGACAGAAGTCATTAATTTAAGAGGTGTAAAATTCCTGTCGTTTTTGTCTTAAATCTCTTTCCCCCGCCCCGGATACAACTTATTAATGGTTTGTCTACTATACACTGGACTAAATACAGGACAGAATCAGAAAAGGCTAAAGAGCTTTATCGTTTAATCATAAAATGATTACATATCATTTGCAAGTTGGCAAGGCACTCCTTCAAGCAACCATCTAAATAAGCTGTGTTCTGAGTAGGTCCTTGTGCATTACCGTGTTTACATCAGTGGATGGATATTTGTACGTGAAATCTTTTAAAAAAAAAAAAAAAAGAAGTTATGTTCTTGGGCTATGTTAATTTATAGAACTAAAGTTGTGGTATGGAAATCTAGTGTTGGAATCCGTATTTGTGAAGTCATCAAATAGATATTTTAAGGCTGGGAAAGGATTTCCTGAGGTCATTAGCATTCTTTTCATGTGGCATAACAGTACTGTCCAACAGTAATGCCGTAATCCCTCATTTGGAGAACCCTTTAAGGCACATACTCCGAACAACGCACTGGACTTTATTTTTGTGAAAACCATTTCTCATCTCCTTCTCACAAAGCAAGTACTTTTAAGGGTATTGCTTTTCTGATGAGACCACTCGGGCTCTCCACTTAGCTGAATTGCTCTTTAAACTATTAATTTGGTCAGTGGAGTAATTTAATAATTTTCCATATACAGACAACAGAAGCCGAAATCAGTTTGGTGTGCTGGAACTGCTAATTGTGCCTTCAAGGAGGACTCCAGTAATGTGTGTGCCTAAACAACTTAACTTCAGACCTACTTTCCTTCTTTCCTTCTGCATTTTGAAGGAGTATTCCTGATCTGATACTCTTTTTTTTTTCTTCTCCCCCCCCCCCCCTTTAATTTCCTTATGTTAAATTCACAAACCTAATTAATACAATGTCTTTCCTGTAGGTTCACTCCATGATGGCTCAATTAGAGTAGCAGTAGAACTGTGGTTCAATATTCAGGCCAGCTTCATAATTGAAAACACATTTTCTTCTCAAAAGCTGCAGCTGGTTTGGTTCTGCTCATGCAGAAAAGGATATAACCTTGCATAACATAGGAAATGAACGGTTGAGAGAGAAGCCAAATTCAATTTCAGTCAGATATTTTGAGGATAAGTCCATGATCTATGGAAGCAAGGGAATGAAAAGTGTGTGTATGTGGAAAGCAGCGTATTCAGCACTCTATTAATCACGGCTAGCCTGGGTGCTGTTGTGTGCTGTTGCGTTAGCACTGATTCTAGTACAGAGGCTGGAGAGCAGCCAAGCACTCCAGAAGTTAACCTCTT